AGCCGCCGAGGCTGACTGCCACCTAAGGCTAGACTCTACTTGCGCAAGCGGGAGGGGGTTTCAAACTGGAATACCATCACGAAAGGAGAGGGGGGGTGACAATGGACCAATGGCAACGACGATGGGAGCAAACATCAACTGGGCGATGGACAATTCGGGTCATTCCAGACATCATGACGTGGAACCAAACTTAACATGGAGATTAGAATGCAGTTACTGACAGGGCATTTGTTACCGGGAGTATCAGATCCGATTCCGGTTGGACGATAGCTCATGCCCAACGTGTTTCCCGGTGATTGGGGATGCAGAACACGCGTTCTTTCATTGTCCACGCTTCGTAGTGGAAAGGGAGGAACTCCATAGACTCCTCCAAGAGGTAGTGGTCCGAGACCATCGTCACTAGGATGCTGCTGACACAAGAGTATAGGAGTGTGGTAGCCACCTATGCCGCAAAGGTCCTGAAGACGCTCCGCTCCGAGGAGCAGTTACGAAGAAGTGTCCCGTAATATGTTGAAGTGCGAAAAGCCCATCCTTCCTTCTCGCGATGCAATGCCTTCCGGCGGTTCCGCGGGAAGGAATAGGAGGAAAGGGAGGGTTTTTAGTGGGTAGGCATAATCTAGCTATGAATCCCACACGCTGCGGGTTGCGGGCCCCGCAGTGTCTTTAGAAGATTTTCCCCTGCCCCCGTAACACACCACACACCCCATCCCTCACACACACACCTAATTTCTGGCGCATGATTACAATACTTTCTCTTTGTACAATATATTATGAGAAAATAAAGTAGGTACCTTGAGTAGCTTTGATGAATAACACTCCTGCAGGAATAAAGAACTTTTCTTCATCTAAAGTGAATATTGTTCTAGGGAAGCTTCCAGCACCTCGTATTACTCTTGATTCTAGTCTAAAGCATTATAAAACATAATTCAACTTACAGAACTACTATGTCTTCCACAAAAACACAAACACTTCCATTCACAGTTGTGTTTACCTCTGGAAAACGTTGTCTATATCCTCAAGATCGTACAATGTCTTCACACGAAGAGGAATCAGATCTGTTCGACTTGGTTTGAAGTGAGCTTTTGCGTATTTGTGGCAAAATAAATGTCTGAAATGACATTAAGTAACATCAGCCCTTTAAATTTATTTAAATTAGACAATTAACAATGACAATTACATTTATAATCTGACCTTTCAGTAAGGTGCCGATTGAAAACTGGGACACCACCAAGCATAAATGCATCAATGATGTGCAAGCATTTCATTTTGCGTTGGCCCCTTCCATCTCTCTCCAAAACCATTTCTGCGTATATAAATGTGTCAGGGCTCAACTCTATATTTCCATCGACCTTTTGCCATTTACTGTTTTCCCAACAGAACACCCTATTTCTACCCATTCCTGAATGAAAATAAAATTGAACAATAAAACAATAAATTAGTAGATTTAAATATCAATATTATCTTTCTGGTAATATCAAACATTGCACCTAGTTTTTGATTAATTCCAAGTAACACATTTCTAATTATTTCATAAACAATTATTTTACAATAAATAAGAGTTCAATGCATCATCAATTTAATGTTCTAATAATACAGTAATTAACATTAATTTAGAGAGAGGGGAAGAAATTACCTAAATAGAAGGTACAAGATTTTGTTTCTCGAGAGCTTCCTAAAACAACACAGTGCCAGTCATAAATAGATTTGAAGGCATGTTCTATCATGCTTGATTGTAAATCTTTCTGCTGCCCTTGTAGAACTGTCATATCTGCAAAATATTTTTTTAAGATAAAAATAACATCTTTTGCACAAGACAATAATATTGCAATACATTATAATTATTAAAGGGAAAGAATGTGAGAAATGCAATTAAAATTTTAAGTATACTACAATTCTCAAATTGAAGGTATGGAGTTTACTTTTGAAGAAAATGCAATTTAATCCAATATTGAACTTTTCTACAATACTTTGACGCATATCTTGCATATTAAATGCAATATATTGGGATCCAATCTAAAACAAGTTCATATTTACTTGCATACCTGGAAATTTCTGATCAAATTTCTTTGTTATTAATACATTCAAAGGACAAAAGAAACCCCCAAGTTAGAATCAAGCAAATGAATGTAGATAAACTATTGAGAATGAAAGTTTTGAAAATTTTGGGCATGCATTTTGGGTGAAAATGTGTAAAGTCTGTACTAAAGTATATTAACAAAATTAAATTCTTGTACTAGAAGTATTCATAATTTTTACTGAAATTAATCCTTCCTCCTAATCCCATAAACAAAAAAACAGTAGAACCTTGGACTGTGAGTAACTTGGTTTATGGGTGTTTTGAATGACAAGCAAAAATTTTGAAGATATTTTACCTCAATATATGAGCGATGCTTTGCAATACGAGTAGTATTTGTTAACCTACCCCTCCCGCTCCTACAACGGAATTGTGTGCATAGCCATTTTCTCAAACTGAGTTTTATTATTCTATAAACTTTGGACCACACATGAGAGAAATTTAACAAAGGAAGACTTTTCCCCAATCTTTCTGCCTGAAAAATTGTTTCTCCTTCACACTGTTGAAGGGTAAGTGAGGGAAGAGTCTTGTCTTGCTCGATGGTACATTCCTTTCATGTTCCCAGATTTGCAAGGAAACATTCTTTGAAGGCAACTACCCCTCTGCCCAAACAGTAGTGTGAGGACATCTTCATAACTCCTGTCACAAGACCTATCCTCTAGGTCTGTATGAACCAATAATTTGTTTTGTGGAGAAATCACTTGCGTTTCAATTATTTCTTACATGAAAATTCACTTTTATCACAAGTGTTTTGTACTACAAGCATGAACGGATGGTGCTCACAAGATAAGGTTCTTCTTTACTGTTTTCTTCAATTCTACACTCTGGAGAATGCATACATGAATGAGTAGCTTTTCTCTGAGAATTTGGAAGATGAAGTGATCCTAAAAAACATCTGCATCCTGCAAATATTAATTCAACAAATTTCTCCTCACTCTTTCATAAAATAAAATTATCTCTTCTCAATATTAATAACTTAATAAAAACAAAATAATTAATCATGTCGAGGATAACTACAACAGTTCAAACTTTCTCTTATTGTTGGCAGGTTACACAAATTCAATATTGCACCCTTTTATTGAATGTAACCTTGTAGGGACATTGTAACAATAATGTTAAGTAATAAAGCTGCCTTATTTTATCTCTCTCCCATTCATCCAACAATGAAATTTTCAGAATTATTTCTCAAATATCCACCGCTGCATTGTATGGCAACCTTGTGTATAGCAGTAAAATTAAATTATCATAGGTAATACCAAGTGCTTTGGATATTGTCGATAAATCCATAACTAACAAAATGAGGAGGGGATTTATCAAAGAATTTCCACGTTCCAAAGAAAGCATGTGTAGTTTTTAATAGGTTTATTCCATGAACGAAAATATGTCCAACAGAGTTCCAAAGTGCGCCAAATATTGAACAAAACTGGAAGCTACGTTAAAATCAAAGAGGTTATGTTACAGTACATATACACAGTTTATTAGACAATGACAAAGCTATTAAAGTATTCTGCCTCCTAAGGTAGATGAGTTTATGATTGGCAAGTAGGGAGATGCACTAAGAAAAATTGGATAGAAAAATTGATAAACATATTGAGATACTCCGCTCTGATTGGGGCATTTTGTACAACTAGTTAAGCCCTATTGGTTTTCATTTTAGAAGTGGAATAGTCATAATCAAAGTTCGTACAAGATTAGGATATTCAATTTTTCTTTCATATTATATTTAAATAGTACTTTTAAGAGAGAAAACCTACTTGGGCAAATTTCAATGAAGGTTTTTCAGATAAGTTGAAAGAAAATACATCAATTCATTGAGAATACAAATTGTAGAATAGAGTGAAAAGGGAATTAATATTCGGATTTTCAGTAGTAAGTATGTAATTAAAATAACATTAATTAATTGTCATATCCTTTTGGTCCATTCCTCATTCCCGAGAATTTTTCTTGTGCCTCAAAGTTGGTGGGGCAGCTGTATATATTTCATTAACTTCAAGCAGAAATCATGCAAAAACGTCTCTTAATAATAATAATAATAATAATAATAATTAAAAAAAAAAACTTTTTCCCCCCAATGATCTGATTTTTGTTGTAAGAAATCAAGAAATTCACAATCATCCCAATGTTACACTGCGTTATGCATGGGAAGCCCTGATATCACGTATGGTTCCATTCTCCCCATCTTCCACCCCACCCGTTTTAGAGCAGCTGTGCAAACTGCCAATATCAATAAGGGAAAATCAAATGAGGATTGCCCAAGTAATGGAAATGCTTCCATAATAAAGGTTTTAATTGTGGCCCTTGAAACATGATTTAATCTTGAATATTAAAAGGACTTGTTCAAAGTCATATACGTGAAGATTGAACAATATCAAGTAAGCAATGGCTTGACAAAGATTTAACATATTGATACCGAAACCTTCCAGGACTAGTTGGCCGTATCTGTAAGTTTGTGCAGCCAAACCCCTTTGTTTTATGTTGTATTAATTACAAGCTGAAATTTTTTCACGATTTCTTTTAAAAAATAAGAATTATCACATTAACAATTTATGCATTTTCTTTGTGCAGATTTATACATTCTTTTGTTCTTTGTCTGGCAAATAGATCTGTACTCCTTTTAACATGTTCATAATACTTTGTTTTAGCAATTTTGATGCATACTTGCGTAGAACTGTTGTCAAATTCCGCTTCCTTCCCACCACCACACAAACTGATGTAAAAGCAGTTCTGTAGAACAAAATATATTTTCTGAATGCAGTCATAATAAATCATTCAGGAGATAAGTCATTAAAAACCCTTTATACCTACTTATCAAAATCTAAAACCGCTGAGAGTTCAGCATCCATAAGAATTTCTAGGCATTGATAGAAAAGAGCTAAGAATCCCCATAGGACAATTTAAGTAGTACCATTTACCTTGGAGATCATTTGTTCTATTCCCCGCAATTAATAAATCACATACAATTAATAATAATAATAATAATAATAATAATAATGAGAGAAAGAAGAAGCAGAAGCCGGTCCGGACGATCAGATGACGAAGATCGTTTAAGCCATAGTGCTTAAGAGGTCTTGACCAGGACAGCGTTTCGAGACCCGTCGCGACAGGGTGTATTTGTATGGCGTGTATAAGTAAAATACTTCACACATTGTGAGTATTAAAAAATATGACATTCCCCTTGACTTTTAAGTTTTCGGGAATTTTCTCTTATTTTAAGCCGCTTTTTCAAAGAAATTTTTTAGGTCATCACGAATCCGAGTCTAGCAAACTAAAGGCCAAACAACATTGCCTTACCATGGGATACAGCCAAAAAGCTATCCCCTTAATCACACGTTAATCTCTCAGATACAATAGGACTGAGTCTCGAAGATAACGATCATAAATGACCGATACCATATAATAATAATAATAATAATACATAATAAATAACAATAACAGACGTTGTCTGCACAAGAATAAACGTAGTCAAATACTGTCTGCATCTCGTTACAACGGAAGAGCCCTGGAACCCGTATCTGGAACACTGCTCTCCCTGACGATTCAAGCATCTGACTCTTTTGCCAAACCCAAAAAAACCCCATTAGTCCACTCAACTTCTTTAAAGTGCACAGCGCTGAAACAGTGCCAATGCATGCCTCGTTACACATGGCGGACTTCAGCCATCAGAAAGCTATTACTCCGTCTGCCCACGCAAATGTCCTTACACTTCATCACCTAGCTGAAAAAAGGTAGACGAAACGAATTTTTAAGCTCAATGCTTCTTTAAGGAAATCAGGAGATTTGTATTAAAATAATCTACAAACACGGAGAACCGCTTCACTTCCTCTGCGAAGGAAAATCGTAATAAATAATTTTTTACGCCTTTGGAAAATCACGGCTTCGATCTGGGTTTGAACCGCAGTCTCTAAAGACGGTTTCAAGATTCCAAAAGGTTTGAGTATAGTAGGAATTAAAAACTATCGATTTTTACTTTCCCATAGACGTAGTATAGGAACGTTATGTAATCTGCGGCGAAATCGATTTCAGATTCAACGGATACCTTTTGGGGTCCCCTGATACAAAAAAGGTTTTTTTTCTTCAAAAAGTCCGTCCGTCTGTGAACACTATTGCGCTCAATCAACTATAAACTTTTCCAAAAAGTATTCCCCCCCCAGTCTAGCTGGCTCCCCACTCCAACAAGCCCGCGATTTTGTAAAACTTTCTTCAAAAATTTGGGTACTTACATAACTCCCTTGGACATTTTTAGAATTTTTCGCAAAAAAACTGCTCCAACATTTTTTCTTTAAATTTCTTGTCTACGAATAGAGAATAAATAACACTTTTAAAGGTCAGCATAGATCGATTCACGGATAAACATTTCCTAAATTGACCAATGTAGTGCTTGACACAGTACCACGTCGGATACGGTCGGTACACCAGTACCCAAAGCATTTTTTACTTAATACGCCATATTTTCTTTCCGCTACGTACACTCATGACATCTTTAAGTGAACAATAATTATCATGTAAAGTCGCGCGCAGTCTGATAATGAGCTAGACTACCGTATTTTAAAAAAATAAGTTTGCGTAAACCTACGACTGTATCGCCACGAAACTTATTGTACTTAATTTCAAGTAAATATAAAGAAAACAAAACCACCTTTTTTTTTTTTTATGAGTAATACTATCAACGAATATATCGACTGCCACTTTTCCGT